AGACCAGAAGAACTAGATGGTGCCTGGCTACTACTGTCAACCACTCAGAGGGGGATCTATGTAGGAGATCCTGGATAGAGAGGGAGAACAATGTGGAACAAAACTCAAAATCACTTGGGAAAAAAAAAGGAGGAGGGTAGGTTTGGTGGTCTGATAGAGCCTGGTGGAACCACTGCTGCCCTTCAGGTCTGCAACTGAACCCAGACCTGTGGCTTCCAGCCAAAAAAAAGATAGGCATATGAGTTGAACATGTACCTGAGGTAGATACACTCTCTGAAGAGAACAATCATGGGAGAAAGAAGGGCTGTGTATGCACAGGAAGATGCTCAGAGGGCAGGAGTGCATGGAGGGATGGACACAGGGAAAGCGTACCTATCGAGAAGAAGTGGGAGGGGAGGTGTTGCATTGTGGTAAATTGTAGTCAATGTCATGAGATGAGACAACGTGTGTGTGAACTGCTGTATGGACAGTGAATTTGCTCTGTAAACTTTCACCCAAATCACAATAAAAAAAAAAAAAACTAGTCCATAGGACTGTTTAATAGCCCACATGGACAACAGCCTCTGCTAACCTGAGACCAGAACTAAATGGTGCCTGGCAGCTACTACTACTAACTATTCTGACCAGGGACACAATAGAAAGTCCTGGACAGAATGGGAGAAAAACCTCAAATTCTTGAAAAAGGCCAGACCTACTAGACCAACAGAGACTAGAGGAACCCTCAAGACTATCACCCTAAGATATCTTTTGAACTTGGAATTGAAGCTATTTCTGCAGGTCACCTTTAAGCCAAATAATAGGTTGGTTTATAAAATAAACAATACCACCCAAGAGTAATGTGTCCTTTAAACTAACTATATGTGACCAAAAAGTCAACATTTACCCAAGAAAAGATGAGAAGGCAAGGAGGGGAGGGGAAGCTAGATCAATGGAAACAGAACAAACAATGGAAATACGAGTGCTGACACAATGTGAAAATTATACCCATTGTCATGGAACAATTTGTATAAATTTTTTAAATGGGAACCTAATTTGCTGTGTAAATTTTCACCTAAAACACAATAAAATACTGGGGGTGGGGTGGGGAAATGGTCATTGTAAATTACATTCCTGGGGAAACTTTTCCTCTAGCAATGAGCAAACCCTTTCATAAAGGACTAAAGCTTAGTCATAGATTATTCATCCTTCCTGGGCTCTCTCCCATATCTCCCACCAGACCCAAGGCCCTACCCTCCCAACCCTTCCTCTGGCACCTGAGGACAGCAGCTTACAGCAGCCTCACTGAGGTTCCAGGCCCCAAATCCCTCCTCAGAAGCACAGTCATTGGTTTCAAATCAGTAGCTTCCTCCAAGACTCTGAAACCTCTGGCTGACATAAGCCCTTCTTCCTTGGCACCGGAGGGCCTCCCTGGCCCTCACGCTTGCCAGTTTTGTCTGGACTCTCAACCCAACAGCTGGGAAGGCTAGAAGGCCCAGAGACGCAGCTTTAGGTTCAGCTGGAAGAAGAACTCTGGACCAATGCTGGTCTCCTGCGTCAGGAGAAGGGCCTATTTTGAAAAACAGGACAACACATCTTTTCTTATTTCACAATCTCAGTTATGACAAGGGGCTGTCCCCCAAACTGTGTGCAGGCCTAAATGTTTCCTCTTCTCTGCGTCCCTTAGGGTAGCAGGGTCAGTGCTTTGTGCATAAAAGCATTCAGCAGACCCTGGTTGCTAAGCCCATCATGTCCCTGCCTCCTCCTGTGCTCACGCTTCCACCTTGAAGGCCCCAGAGAAATCCTACCCCAAGTCTGCAGGCAGCTCCTCCTGTGTGCACCTGTGGCCCTGCTCATCTCCCCCACCTGCACACTCACCAGGACATTTCCACCTGGGCACAACACTCCCACCTACTGTGACTGCTTGAGATCAAGGGTCAGTGCTGTTCCTGACCTCTCAGGGCTGGCTCACAATGGGCACGTGGCACTGCCAATGTGGCTGCCTGAAGGAGCAGAGGACTTCAGCCCTTCCCCTGTCTCCTTAGACCTCAGCCCCTTACCTGTAGCTGGACCTGCACCCACCCCACCTCCCACTTGCCCCTGACACCCACCATGTTCTGCTCAGCGATGTAGCACTCAATGAAACGGTCTGGGTGCTCCTTCTTGAAGAGCTCCGAGAAGGTGGAATTCTTGGTGTCCCCATCCAGGGCAATGACACGGTCACTGGCATGGCCCAGCTTGGCCAAGGCTTGCCCATAGGCTTTGCGGGTGGCTATCTGTCAGGGGAGGGAAGAAGCAGGAAGATTCTGAGCACCATGAAGGGAATGGGTGCTGCTGGGAACCCTGTGTGGCCTCTGTGAGACCACATCATTTAGGGGAGGATTAAAAATAGAGGCAGAAAAATGAATCCCCACAACACAAAGTCCTGTGAAAACATTCACTTCCATAAAGTTGCCAAGGAGAACTTCTACAGTGAATGTCTTGGGAATCTCTAGGGTCCCCTATCCTGGCCCAGCTGTGAGCCATCTGAGCTGCAAGCTGCAGCAAGACCCCTGTGACAGAGGTCTATAAGCCCACTTTGCAGGTGTATAAACTGAGAGCCTGGGAGTCAGACAGACTGACACTGGACTGCATCAATGAGTTCATAAAAGGTAGTGGGTCCTGGAGCAGGACAGCCCTGCTTAGCTTTTGCCAGCAGTCCTGTGGGACATGTGAGGCTCCTAAGCTCAAGGCCAAGGGGCCCTGATCGACCAGGGATGCAGGGATAGAGAGACTCAGGGACTCAGAAGCCCTGGAATTTGATCCCAGCTCTACCCATAACTTGCTGTGTAACTCTGGCTAAGTCCCTTGCCCTTGCTAAGCCTCTGCTTCTCACCTTTCAAAGGTAAATAGTTCTAGAGCTGGCTGTCCTCATGAGGAAGGGCTCTGCACCCTAAGTGAATCACCCTCTTCCCAGCTCAAAGCCCCTTTTCCTATGCTCTTCAGAGAAGATTATAAAGCCAGCCTTGGGGAAACCAAAGAACCATGGCCACTAACACCCAGTTAGCCCAGAAAAGTGAGGCCGAACTTTGCACCTTGTCCCCAACTTTGTAGCTGGGTGGGGTGGGCATGCGGATGTTGGTGATGTCTACTGAGGGGGCATCCTCCTGTGGGGGGGTTGCCAGGATCTTCTTCTTGCTCTGGATCAGGCTGTAGATTTCCTGGATGGTCTGATCAGCCATGTTTTTGGGTAGGGGCTTCCCATGCCAAGACTCCTTATCTTCTACCCCTACAGGTATAAGACAGAAGGGCAGAGGACAGGTAAGAAGGAAGCTCCCCAAAGGGCCAGAAAGGTGCTCCAGCGGTATGGCCCTCTATCTGGCTAGACGGACCTGGGTTCAAATTCTGGCTCAGTCACATTGACTACTGACTTACCTAAGCAACTCACTTAACCTTGCTGAGTCTACTTCCTTGTTTGCAATGACAGTCTAATCCTACAGGGTTGTGGGAAGGACATAAGGATAGGGTCCGGTATGCAGAGAGCCAGTCAACACAAGCTCCCACTTGACTTTCCTATCCCTGAGGCTGCCTTCCTTACTCCCACAGCCTTGAACGAGTTGCCATTGAGTCGAGTCCAACTTATGACAACCCCAGGTATGTCGGAACAGAACTATGTTCCACAGCGTTTTCAGTGGGTGATTATACAAAGAGATCACCAGGCCTTTCTTCTGAGGCACCTCTGGATACACTCAACCATTTGCACTACCCAGGGACCCCCTTAAAGCACCACAAATTGTTGCTGCTCTGACCATGGCCTGCCTATAAACAAGCATAGACAGACAACCCTTGGTTTCCAAGGAGCAGGTGAACCCAGAAGCCAGGGGCCATAGCATCTCCTATTCCCCCTTCTCCAGAGCCCAATAAGGCAGCCAAGGCCATGTGCTTCCCCAGGCAAAGGAACAGAACTGGGTGGTCTCTGACCCCAGCAACTCCTCCCAACCCCACTCCAGTTAGCCTGGGCCTAGTCCCAAGGAAGGGGTGGGAAGGCAGGCTTGTGCACGCTGACCTGCAATTCCTCGGCCCTTGAAGGTCTTGGCGATGATGACTGTTGGCTGGTGCTTAGCCTGGCCAAAGGCCTTGCACAGCTCCTCCACACTGTGTCCGTCGACGATGACAGCATGCCAGCTGGGGAAAGAGAGGACAGAGTGGCACCGTGGAGGCACAACAGGAAGGGGCAATGCTCAGCTGCCAGGGGACCCCGAGAAGCATCTCAGGGAAAAGTCTGACCTGGCACCTATGGGTCTGCCCCCGCTCAGCCCCACAGCTGTGTTCTGGAAAAGAGCTAGAGAAGTCAGGCAGCCTAAAATGCTCCTGTTTCCAATTTGGATTTTCTTTTTTCTTTTCTTTCTTCTTTTCATATTTTACTTCCTCTCATCTGCCTTGGAACAGATTTTCCTCCTTTCCTAAATAATTCTTAGGCTTAATTCCCATGCTTAGTTCTTTTATTATTTCTTTCATTCCTGATCTATGAATTTTCTACTGAAAGCTTTTTTGGGGATAATGCTCTGGGTTTGGGATCTGTCTGCTATTATAGTCTTGATGAATTTCTGGCCCAATTTTTATTTAGGGAATATATCCAATAACTCCATAGATGTTGGGTATGGGTGCTGAAAATTTTACAACAGGAGTCATACGCTGTCAGACATATCAGGGGACACAAGCTGGGAGAGGGCAAGCTTTCTGCTTAAAGTGATCCTTTTGGGGACTGTTCTTGAAATATTAAAAAAAAAAAAAAAATCCAGCTACTATGTACTGAGTGTTCACACTGTGAAGCACCCTACACATATTAACCCATTATTAACCCATTTAAGCCTCATTACAACTCCAGAACAGGGCTCTGGTATTGCCCCCATTTTACTGACAAGTAAACTGAGACACTGATGATCAAGTAACTTGTGCAAAGCTGCAAAGCTAATAAGTAGAGGAGCCAGAACTAAACTTACAGAACTTGGCACCAGAGCCACAAGGTTATGAACAAAGGCCCCAGGAGCACTGTCAGGGTTATACACCAAGTCCTCAACCCAATGTGGCCTCAGGAAGGTCCTTTAGAGGTACTTTGTGCTTTAGTTCCCTCCCTTCATCCTCTCTCTTCAGAAGGTCAGTCAGAGATAGCAGTCTTATGTAATCACAGCCATCAATCCATCCACACAGGGCAGCCTGGGCAGACTCAGGCTCTCAAAGACCTGCATAACCCAAGTGCAGCCTGCCTCCCTGACAAAGGCCTCCACAGCCTCGTCAGCCAAGGGTAAGCCTGGGGTGTGGCTCCCTTGGAACCCCAACTGCAGAGACACTTATATTTGGGGCTAGGGAAGGAGACATTGAGGTGATATTTTAATTGAAATCTACCCAGACTGACCTTCCTATTTTGTAACATATGACTCAGAATTCACAACTATTATTCAAGACCCAAGGGGAAGTCCTATGTCCCCATTTTACTTGGAGAGAGAGCCTATTCCTCCTCCTCAGGCTGGCTGGGGCCAGGTGCAAGAGGGGGCCCCTGATTGATACTCAAATGTCCCAGTAATTACATTTTAGGGGCTTCCCTAAAATCAAAAATTAAAGTCAACAGCCTATAAATTGACAATCACTAGTGCAGTCTTCTTCTTCTTCACTCAGGAACAATGTGAGGATACATGAGATGGTGTATGTGGAACCTCGGAGAACATTCATGCCACACAATAATGGTTTGCCCAAATAAAGAAACTTCCTTAAAATTGGGCCTCAACCCACAATTCCATGGCTTTTGCCTGAGCTACCACTTTAAGTACAAATGGTCAAAGTTTGAAATTGTTGTTATGTGCCGACTGACTCATAGTGACCCCTCCTTGGGTTTCCAAGGCAGTATCACTACAGAAGTAGATTGCCCCATCTTCCTTCCGAGGAGTGGCTGGTGGATTTGAACCACCAGCCTTTGGTTAGCAGTCAAGTGCCTTAGCCACTATGCTACCGGAGCTCCCAAATAGGGAGACAAAATGTCTGTGAGACCATAGATGGGGCTTAACCTCTGGACTCAGTTCACGCGTCTGCAAAGCTTCTACTCTATCACAGATGACTTTTCAGGCTGTGAACATGCTCACCCATGGCCTCATACATACCCAAAGGCCTCGCAGCGCTTCTGGTAGATGTCCACTTGGTGCTGCAGTGGGGCTGGGTCACTCTGGCCCAGGCGGTTGATGTCAAGAATGGCAACAAGGTTGTCCAGCTTGTAGATGCCAGCGAAGGCCATGGCCTCCCACACGGAGCCCTCTGACAGCTCTCCATCCCCCAGCATGCAGTAGACGCGGTAGCTGCAGACAGATGGGGCTGGGTCTTGAGGCTGGTCCCTCTCACCTGGACCAACCATGCTATCACCCTCATCCCTCCTAAGAAGCCTGCTCCTTGAGCAAGGGTGGGCCGCCACACAAACATGAAGGACAGACAACATTTCTGTGGAAGGGGCAGCAGCATCTTCAAGTACCTGCTGCCCACCGAGTCCACAACTCCATAGGAAATGGCTGTGAAGAAGCTATGAGGAATTCAAGAAAGAACCACTGACTTCTGAGAAACAGAGCTCTATGATAATCAGGGTCTGGCCAATAAGGAAAATGGGAGTAATTAGGGCAAAAGGAAAATGAGGAAGAGTGGTTAACGGCAAGCTACTTGCCTTGGGCAGAAGCTTGAGCCACGCCCACTGCAGGGGAGGAACTGCCTCTCCAGCCTCCGGGAACCAGAAGTGTCAGAGGAGGCCTAGGGACTCACTGGGTAAGCCACAGGAAAAGGGAGACCTTGGAGCCCATACCCATCTGCTTGGAGGAGCTGGGTGGAAAGGGTAGAGGCTGTCATGCCTGCCAGGCAACATTCTACAGCAGGAGGATTCCAGGTGAGAGAATGAGCACTAATGAGGGAACTTCAAGGCCAAGATCACTGGGGGCAACTAGGTGCCTCTTAGAATGGCTCTCTTCAAGGCTCCAGAGCTGGCTCTTATACCTAAGACTGGAGCTGGGCTTGGCCTTTTCCCCACCCCAAGGTACTCTCTCTCCCTTAGATCAAAAGCAGACATGATCTCTTCAAGGGCAATGTGACATGGTAAAAATAACTGAATCCAAGATACATTACCCAGAGCAAACAGTTAATGCATTCAGCTCCTAACTGAAAAGCTAGAGGTTCAAGTCTACCTAGAGACATCTCGTGGAGGTGGCTCAGAAGAAAGGCCTGGCAACCTACTTTTGAAAAATCAGCCATTGAAAACTCTATGGAATTCAGTTCTAATATGACACACATAGAGTCATCATGAGTTCAAGTTGACTCAAGGCAACTGTTTTTGTTGTTGTTGTTGTTTAAATAGAACCTTCCCTGGCCCTGGGGAGGGTGGAGCAAAGTGGGTAAGGCTAGAGCAGGGAAAACAGTTCAGGGACTGACCTCAGCCCTAGGGGTTGTGAGGGATGAGCATGGCTGAGGGGCAATGGCAGCAGGCATAGGAATAATCCCTTTCACTGGGCCATCCCATGCCACCTAGGAGCTGGGGCAGGGTTGATAGCAGGTCCTGTGCTTAGTTATTCTAAAAACACAGACAAGAAAACAGGTTCAGAAAGGTCAAGGGATCTGGCTGAGGTCACACTTGAAGTGGCTGAGCTGGGACTCAACCACAGCCTGACTGCCCAGCCCAGACTGTCCACCTGCTGCTCTGTCTAGGAATGCATGTAGGGTGAGAGTGACAAGCAAGCCTGGGGACCCTCCTTTTCCCTGCCCAATGCCAGCTGTTTGGCCCCAAGGAGGGAGGCTGGTGCCCAGATGTGTTCAAAGGAGACATAGCTGCCCTCCTGCTGCTGCAGGAAAAGGTCCTTGACCCAGATACCGACTTAGCAGTCCTGACCTCCAGGTCCCCTTGTAGCAGAGGGAGCAGGAGAAAGAGGCTGGAGATAGACAGTTACATGCTGTCAGCATGACTCAGCACTTCCACTAGCCTCCAGGCCTCCATAGTGTGGGTTCCCTTTCTCCTTACCCTGCCTAGTGTCTTCCTTTCTGTGGCCTCCAGGATGGCTGGCCAGGAGAAAGTCACAGGGCCCACACTCCACAGAGGCCCTATCAGACCCAGGATTATATGAAACTGGGTCATACTGTCATGTGTATCTCTTCTCTCCCCTGGAGGGTACAAGGGGGCCCAGAGCCCATAGAGGGGTTCTGGTCTGGAGTAGCAGCTCCCCAAGTGACCACCCTGATGGGGCTGAGCCAGAGAAGCCTAGAGGGAATATAATTTTCCCTAGAAAGATTCTAGGGAAGCAGCCTGGCTGCCTTCCCAACCCACACCCATTTCCTGGGAAGTGAGACCAGGCTGAGCCCAGAGGAGTCTCAGTGTAGCCTCAGCTTTAAGGCCTAGGACAAGACTGGCCTTGTGGTGGTCAACAGGCTCTGGCCAGGAGGGTGCTCTGAGGGTCCTAAGGGATTCCCTGACCTGGAGAAGGAATTGTGAGCAGGAAGAGCATCCTCTATCCCACATAAGTCTGGGCTAACTTTCAGATTTTATATTGCCTGGAACTGATTTTATGGTGAGGAGAATGTTCACTTCTTTTTAGCACTTTTCTGTATTTTTCAAATGAGTATCTTGTAATTAATATATATATATATATATATATATATAAAGAAAAATAAAAGGGAGTTGGCTTGGCATAAGCACCTTGGTTGATGGTTGGTAGCAACAGTGACTCGAGCCTGGGTCTATTATATCTGGGTACTACCTCTGGGCGCCTGGCCCAGCCTGATAATCCCCTTAATACCCCTGTAACCCACCCTGGCCCCAAGCCACCCTGGATGCTGGGAACCTGGCTAAACTCCTTTTCCTTACACTGGATTGTTCCATTATGTGTGGATCAGCAAGTGACCCTTCGTGTGGAATTACTTCAAGCAACTGTAGGGAATGATTATCCTCCATCTCTGGTTCTGTGTCAAATAAAATGCTCTTCAACACAAATCCCATTCTTTGTGCTTTTCTCTCTTCACTTCACAGTGAATTACTTTTAGGTGTAGCTGAGCCTGCCTCAAAGCTCAGCCAGGGACTAAGAACAATTGCTGGCTGATGGAGTCAGGTGAGGCTAGCCTGGGTGGATCTGGAAGGGGCCTTGCAGCCCCAGCCCCACCTCCTCAAAGGTGTCCCAGGCGTGCCTGCACACAGTAGGTGCTCACTGTGGTGTGGCAGCCAGTCAGGCTCCTCTCTCCCTGCAAGCTGTCCTCAGAGGACCCACAGTTACCTCCACATCCCCCTTACCTTCCAGCCCCAGGATAGCCCTGGCTGTGGCCCTTCTCCTCCTAGTGTGGCTATAAAACACTACAGGACAGTAGGGAAGCCACTTACTGCTGGGAGGGAGCTGGGGCTGCCTTGCCCATGAGATGCTCGTCATGCCACTCTGCGGGCCTGCCTCCAAAGGCCCTCTACATCAAGGACACGTCCTACCTTTAAGGCTCCCCAAACCTCTTATACCTCCCTCAGGCCCACACAGAACAGCCAAACATGGCTATGGACACATGACTTGGATTCAAATGCTGCCCTAACTACTGCCAGATGAGATGAGGCAAGCATCTCATCCCAAGTTTCATCTGTAAGAGGGGCCTACCCATCTCACAGGGGCTTATGAAGGTGAAACCTGATAAAGCATGTAAGTACAGGGTCTGACCCCCAAACCACAGAACCACAGAGGAAGGAAGAAACCATTCTAGCCTATTATGCCCTGATCCCCAGATTTACTCTATGAAATATTTTTAAAATTTAGAAACTAAGTGGTTTTAACAACTTGCACCCCGCACCCCCTCCCACCCACCCACCCAAAAACAAAAAACAAAACACACCTGTCTGCGGGCCACATCTGGCCAGTGGACAACCTTGTAGCTGACATTTGCCTCAGGAGGGTTTTCCCACCAACCACCTGGTGCAGGAACAGTGAACCTCCCTGGTCAAGCTGCTCACCCACCCTCTACAGATTCAATCTCTCAAATGTTTATTTCTCTCTGGACTGGTAAGTGATAGGAGGTGGCTTAGGGATGTCCAGATCCTCTAAAACACACAACTTACACTTCCACAACATAAGGACTTGGGCCAAGATAAGGCTGGTGTCTAGTCAAGCATGAAGGGGAGAGCCTTGAGACTTCTGAGGTGTGGTCACTGGGCTTGGGGGCAACACAGGAACTCCTCACTCTGGCTAAACAGCACAATTAAGAGCAAGGGCTCTGGGTGCACACCTAGCCCTGCCAGCTGCTATCAAGGCACCTTAACTCCTCTGAGCATGTTTCCTCATCTGGAAAAGGGACTGGTCATGCTACCAGCCTCAGTGTGTCTCTGTGAGGACAAAGCAGGCCACACATGATCATTCCTCAGACCAGGCCGGGTGAAAGGAGGTGCCTGGGGCAATAATTAAGGCTGAGCCTCTGGGGACTCCTCCCAAAACTGTCTATTTTGGGGCACAGGGATAGGGTATTACCTGGCTTTGTCGAAGTATTTGCCAGTGTAGGCCATTCCGCAAGCAGCCCCGAGGCCCTGGCCCAGAGAGCCAGTGGCCACATCGGTAAAAGCTTGTTTCTGTCACAATAGAGGGCCACAGTTATTCACAGGGAAAGCAGGGAGCAGTGTGTTTCCCCATTCACCTCTCGGGATCCTGGCCTTGCAAGCCATGGGGAACACAGCAGCCAGACACACACGGAGACCTGGGGTGCAGGTTCTGGGGGAAGTGAGCCCCTGCAGAAGGCCCCCACCCCATGTGGCCTCTGCTCAGAGTGTGATTTCTCATTCTCATACACATAATTATGGTATTTGGTGGTAGGTTCAAATCCCAACTCTGCCCATTAGCAAGCTGTATGATCTCAGGCTGGCACTCGAACTTCTCTGAACCTCAGTTCCCACATCTGTAAACAGAGCCCACATCACCTACCTCAGAATATCTTGGAAAATTCAGGATAAAACTGACATAAAACACTTGGCCCTAGTGGGTGTTCAGTCGGGGGTGGGGGGTTGGGGGGGTGGAGGCAGGGGCAGGGTGATGGTTTTCACTGTAACCCAGAACACTAAACATCTGAAATGACTCTGAGATGCAAACAGACCCATTCCCTGAGGCGTAACCAAAATCCTGCTGCAATCCCCATAGATTCCTCAGTGAACCCCTCCTCCTGAGCTTGTCTAGGTGGCCAGGAAGGCCCAGTGAGAAAGGGAAGCTGGGTGGCTGGTGCCTGGGGAGAGGCCTTCCCTGAAGTTGACCCAGAGCACTCTCGTCTGGGGCCTCAAAAGGCCTTGTCTTTCAGCACCAGTTCAAGGTAAATTCTACGTGCTCTGAAAATACTTCTTTCCTTCCTCATCTCCACACCCTCCTCTGCCTTTCAATACCTTCAGCTTCTCAACAGGTACCCCTGCCCTCTCCCATACCTTGGGAAACAGAAAGTGGAGACAGAGCCCATGAGGCCCCTGGCAAGATCACTCACCGGGACAGGGTGTCCATCCAGGTCAGAGGTAATCTTCCTCAGGTTCAGCAGCTCTGCCTCAGGCAGGAAGCCAGCTTCAGCCCAGACTGCATACAGGATGGGAGCTGCATGACCCTGCAGGGGAAGGATGGTGAAAGGGGGAGGTCAGATAGGGAGCTGGTACTGAGGGCTGTTCCTACTGCCCACCAAAACCCAGGACCCAGCAGAGCTGGCTGGCCAAGGTATCAGTTTCAGGGGAGGAAACAAGTGAAGGCCTCTTGGTTTACAGCCCAAAGTTCTCACAGGCAAGGCCAGGCAGCACTAGAACAGGTGCAGGGGGAATACAGCTGGGATGCTGGACGAGGCCAAAACCCCAGCCAGCAGCCCGCTGCCCTAATCCATGGTTTCTGGCACGTGAAAGACTTGGACAGACTTCTAAGCTTTAATGCCTGCCACAAGAGACCAGAGGCCACAGAGCCAAGCCTGGGGTGTGTGTGTGCAGATTTCAAGGGTGCCAGGAGGTCCTACAGTATGGTTTGTGGCTGTGATTCTTATTCAAAAGGGGCAGGACAGGGTCTCCACCCCACCCCAACCATGCTGTAGTGTACCATTACTCCTAAGGGAAGCAAGTTGTGACCTCAGAGTGTTGGCACAACAAATCTGTAACCAGACCTGTATTGGAGTCCTAGCTGTAAACACCAAGAATGGACAGAACACATAGCTAGTCATTTCTACTGCCCCCCACCCTGTCCCTCTGGGTTACGGCCTAGTTAATATACCTGGACTCCAAGGATAAGAAACCCATTAATGCAGTCATGTAGTCCTCCACTTGGGTTCAGCTCATCTGCTGCTTCAGCACAGCACTGAAGGGAGGGGCTGGGACAAGCAGGCAGAGAAGGGAGGTGGGCAGGCTGGGCTGGGGCTGGAGGATGGGCAGTTTCCTCAGAGGTCACTTGATGGCAGCACCTTCTCAAGGGCCAGTGCTGGGCTGGGTTCTTACCTTGGAGAGCACGAAGCGGTCGTTGTGAGGGTTCCGAGGGTCCTGGGACTTGTAGCGCATGGTGTGGAAAAAGAGGACAGCCATGATCTCTGCGGCACTACAGCATGACGTGGGGTGGCTTTGGCACAGGGGAGAAGACAGATGTGTATCACAGCCCTGCACCTTCACCCGGCCCATGCACAGGGACCTGGAGTTGTAGGTCCTGGGAAGTCACACAGGACTGGCTTTATCAAAACCACATGCCCCTGCTGCCCAGGAGGGGTCATAGGGTCTCCAGGGCCACTGCTTGGGGTCAGGGTCAGCTGGTACGTACCAGGGACTGTCACACCCTTGTAGGGAGCACCAGCCCAGAGCCTCAGAGTCAAGGAATGGAAACATTCTGGGGCTAGACTAGGGTAAGAAGGAAGGAGAGGCCCAAGAAAGACAGTACCAGCAGGGCCAGCCTGATGGCAAAGAAGCTCCCTAGAACCAGCCCAAAGTTGGAGATGGCTGAAGTCCAGTTCCCACATAACAGCTCCTAGGAGTCTAAAGACTCAGAGCCAAGGGGAAGGACTAGGAGTGAGTGATTAGGTCTCTATGACAATAACCTACCATCCAGTGGGACTGCCCAAAGCTTTGTCCACCTGTGATGGGTGCTGGGCCTCAGAGCCCATGGGGTATGGTATAAGGGACTGAGGCTCACAGAATCACCATAGCCTTCCAGTAGTCTCAGCACATGGGTTTATAGGCTGCAAAACTGGGCTGTGAGCATCACTCGGTAGCCTTTTTAAATGGGTATATTGAAGGCTGGTGTAGCTACTTGGAAACATGTTTGTGAGAATTTAAAAAGCAAAACAAACATCTCACCTTCTACAAAGGCTACAACCATGCAAAAATGAAAATCCCTTCTGCCTGTGGACAATGGCTAAAATGGGGCTGACCAGAACAAGAGCCTACCCCTCTCGTCCAGGAGTTTCCCTGTTCTTAACCTCTTATTCTAATAACCACACTATCAGTTGTTTGAATGGCTACTGGGCAAAAGAATTAACAACAGAAAATGCAAAAATTACACCTTACAGATGAAGAGTTTCAGGTCTCTTAGGACACACTTACAGGATTAATTTAGCCCCTGCTCCCAGGAATGGGGACCAGAGGTTCCTGCTAGGGCATGCTGTAATTTTTGCCTAAAACTGAAGCCCTCTGGTCCACACAGTTTTGTTAAGATGTCAGCCTCAGGGCAAGTGGCTCCCAGCCTCCCGTCCATGCAGCTGAGCTCAGCCTTCTGACACTGTTGACCCTATTCTCCTTGAGGCCCTTCACACTGAAACATGCCCAACACTAAAGCCAAGGACACATGCAACATCTGGAGTTCACAGGCACCTCCCTCCTCCCCCATCCAGTTAGGGTCCCCACTGGGTTAGAGGTGAGTCACTCCCAGCGTAGAGACATTAGTAGAGAAATCCAGAGAACTGTTCCATGCTGGTTTAGTACCCACATTCTTGGCACACAACCATCTCATACTTAACCATTTCTATGAACTCCTGGTCATGGGGAAAAGACACTACACCTGAAAGAGGGAGGTGAGGAAACGTCAACGAGAACCTTTTTTCTGACTAGCAGGACCCCAAACCCTTGTCCCCATTGCCAAGCTTCAGTTGACTTGGAGAACATCCCAGTCAACACCAGTCAGGCTGATCTCCTGCCTTCCCACCTCCAAGAACAGCCTTGTCCCTGTGAGTCTGGTTTCAAAAGTCACCCCCCTGTTATGAGGAAGGGTGAGGGAAGGATGTGGGTACACACTGAGCAACTGCTCCAAGGAGAAAGAAGAAGACAGATGCTGGGGCTTCACCTATCCCTTTTATCTTAAGACCCCAGGATGACATTCCCACTGGGAAAAGTCTCCAGAGAAATGGTTTGGTGGCACAAGTGGGTACGTACATGGCAAAGGCCCAGGCAGAGTGGACCTGGGAGGAAGGGAAAAGTTCACCCACGGAGAAAGACTAGAAGTTGAAAAGGAGGAAAAGTAGTTGTGAGGTGGCCTTACAAAAAATATGAAAGCCCATGAAAGGTGGGCTTGCAATGTTATTCCCTCCAAGCATATGCCTGGACACATTCCTGGTCTCCACAGTCAAAGAAAACACACAAAATAAGGGGTCCTTAGGAGCCATGTGCCCTCCATACTGCCCACCAGATGGGAGAGAAGCTGTTAAGGATGATCTTCTGTAAAGTGTCCTGGGATGTGGGGGTGGGCAGATGTGAGCTGTACCATTCATGAGTTGTGTGACCTGAGTAAGTATTGCCACTCTCTGAGGCTCAGCTTCTTTACTTATAAAGGGGGTTCTGTGGAAGGGTGCCTGGGGACTCAGTGAGATAATGGATGCAAAGTGTCTGGGCCACCACGAACCACTATCATCTGCTTGTGGAACCCGTCCCCAAACCTCAGTCCCTCCAACTCCTCATCTGCAGGCTGGGAGTGTGATCTCCTCACTGGCCACAGGGCAGGTAAGAGGGAAGAACTGCCATAAGGCTCTGTAAACTGTAAAGTGCTGAGCATGCAAACATATAGTTAACTTGGAGCCAAGAGTAAGCTGAGCTTCTAAGCCTCAGGGTTTGAGCTTTTCCTGCAACCCCAGCTGGTTGTAGGCCTGACCAGTGGCATCACTAGGGGAGTGTGTGGGCGCTGACTGCACCAGGTGACACTGCCAGAGGGAGTGACACCAAAATGACTGTCTATAAAATTTTTGTGCAGTGTTTCAGTAGAAATTTATTATTTTTTATAAAAAATATCCCTGTAGTTAAACAACAAAAATACTTTTGTAAGCCCACCTTACATGTATCAATATACCTAACAAGGCTAAAGCTTTATGCTAATTTACTTTCTGAAACTTCTAGTGGTTCAGTGCCTAAGATATCTGACTGCTAACCAGAAGGCTGGCAGTTCAAACCTACCAGCTGTTCCACAGAAGGAAGATGGGGGAATCTACTTCTGTAAAGATTTACTGCCTCAGAAGCCCAATGGGGGTTGCTATGAGTTGGAATTGACCCGATGACAGTAAGTTAGTGAGTAATGTGCTCTGGTCAGAGCCGTCATTATTACCCAATTACAAGGACGATTCTAATCACATGGTTTTGTCTGTATGCGCCATAGTAATTTAAAGGTATAATTTTAATCTTGCTAGTTGTTTACATCACTACTATTGTTGCCATTATATTCAGTGATATATGGGAATTACAAGTTCTGAGTAACGTTGTTGTTGTTGTTATGTGCTGTCGAGTCAAACCCGACTCATAGCGACCCCTCCTTGGGTTTCCGAGGCAGTATCACTACGGAAGTAGGATTGCCCAACCTTCCTGCTGAGGAGTGGCTGGTGGGTTTGAACCGCCAGCCGTCTGGTTAGCAGGCAAATGTCTTAGCCACTATGCTACCAGAGCTCCCCTGAGTAACATTAGTACAAAAAAATATTACTTAGGATTCTGTATGGTCTGTTATGGGAGGAGGTCCATGGGGGAGAGTGACATCATGAGTTACTGCACTGAGTGACACCAATCCTAGTGACACTGCTGGGCTTAACAAATGCAGGTAGAAGCCCTTCTTAGTGTTGTGCACGACACACCTGTGTTACCCACCAGAAGCCAAAGGGCTGTTTAGTGACATGTTCTGTTTTGCCCAAGGCAGGCTATGGGGTACCTTATCCTACCACCAAACACTGAACTTGTCACTCCAAACACAGTGCCCTGTTTTTTGTTTTTTTTAAAAAAACCCCAAGTTCATCCCTTCTTTCACAAGTTTTTATTTCTCAGGTGTCAAACTCTTTGAGATGCACAGTGGTGACAAGCAGACTTGACAGACTTTTCAAAAATGTGTCCTTAGCCTGAATGGCTACTATAATATAAACTAATTCAATTTATGAAAGTGGTACTGTAAAAGTTTAGAGCTAGGCCCAAAGTACTCCCCCCACCCCAGAACATACATTCTTCCAGATGTCTCCTCCCCAGGAGGGTCTCTACTCTTCCTTTTAGTACTCACTCTGCCTGCTCACAGGCTTCCCTGTAGGACAAGGCCAGAGAAGATCCCTTACCCTCTGGCTGGGCTCCTTTAAGAGAGAATGGATGTAAGCTTCCATTAACACAATGCCCCCTCCCACCATACACATTCTGTGGGGCTAAATCACAAGCAACTCTGATTGTATGGTCAATCAATTAACTAACGTACAAATGAAGGAGGTCAAGCAACTATAATGGCCTCACTGAGACAATCCTTAATGCTTAGAAATATAAAAGAAGTTAGAGAAACTCTGTTATGGAGAAGAAATAAGTACCCTAAGAAGAGAGCTGAAAATCTACAGCTAAGATCCAACTTAAAAACTGTAGAAATAAGATAATAAAGAACAGAAATCTATGAAATAGGAATAAAATATACAATAAAAAGGATCAAAGCCAAGAGCTAAAAATTTAGCAAACTTCTGAGAAAGGCAATATAAAAAATGGGAAGGGGGCATAAGTAGAGATGCATTGGAGCTTCAAAAAGTAAAAGCATATGCTGAACAACCAGATGCAAATAAATGTGATAACAGAAATATTTTGGGGAAAGATAATTTACTAAAAACTGAATCAAGTAGAAATAGAAAACCTGACAAAGCACATTTATTCCCTAAGACCTAGCAACTCCACTGGTAAGAATATACCCAAAGAAAGAAACGCATGTACTTCAGGTAACACACATAGGACTGTCCCTTGAATTGTCTGTAACATCAAGACCTGGAAACTAGCAGATGTCCACTGACAGAACAGATTAATTGCATTATCATTATACAGTGGAATACTATACAGCAGTGAATATGAGTGAACTATACTTCACAGATCCAACATCAATATTATCTTACAAATGTATGTGAAAAAACACATTGCAGAAGGATGTGTGTAGCAAATAAAGCCAAACATATTGCTTATGAATATATACAAATGTTATAACCTGTAACAATGGATGATAACAAAATTCAGAGTTATCATGTCTTCTATGGGGAAAGGGTGTATCTTTTTATCTAGGGGGACACACAGGAGCTTCCAAAGTACTGGTAATATCCTAGTTCTTAAGCTGTGTGGCAGGTATACACAGGTTCATTATTTATAATACACATA